AAGCACGGGAGATCACTTCGCCCACTGCCTCATCGCCTTTGAAAATGTCCACCGCAGTTGTGGACGAAACGTCAGGAAGAAATTCCAATAGACCAGGGCTTCAAAGCCCGGAAAACATTCCTAAATGTAATCTGACCGGCCGTGAAAGCCTTCATAGTCTGATAACTTAAACCATTAAATAATTATTCATTAAATAAATCTCTTAAAAAGTTTGGCTTATTGTATATTTGACAGTATGCTGAATATCCTTACATACATCGATACGGATAGTTTTCAAATTAGTAAATACATTGCATATATTTATTTATCGGTAAAACTTATAATAAATACCACCTTGTTTGTAATAACAAGTAAGAGTGCTTATCACATTAAATACTAAAAATGTATTAAAACAATATTGTATTATTGCTAAAATATTTAAAATTTCTGATTACAAATCCAAGTATTTTATATGCCTGAAATAATAAAATTAATTTACATAGTATGCACATACTACACACTACTACCTACTAAAAGGTCGCACTACGTTGTCGGTCTTCCACTTTTGTTAGGATAGTGGGAAAGGCAATTATTTTCATGTGTTGCTTAGTGTGACATGTTAAACAAAGTTCAACACGATACATTTTAATAAAATCCAAAGAGATTACGGTTACAACAAAATACCGGGAAAAATCACCTAACCTTAAAGCGTCTTAAATCATAACAAACCGCTAGATTCGAATCGCCGCAATCGATAGAAGTGACAAGAACTGCCGTGTACGTAGACGCTTGTGATTTCACTTGCGATTGTCGTTTTCGTGATATAAAGTGATGATCAATTGTGCGTCACTTCAGACAACAATCTAAATAAAATTTGTAATTAATATTTTGTTAAATAAATAACCTTACTTAGATATACAACAAATAATACAAATTTCAATAATTTTGAAAAAATTGCGATTGTACAGAACAACATGTACAGGATATCTGGATAACAGGAATCTTATATTAAAATCGTACAGGGCTGCCACGCTGCCCTGCTGCTGTTAACCGGGTTTTCAAACGGATCGCGAGTTAGGTCGAGGCGAGGCGAGTTATTTATAAACGATACTCAAGCCGATACTCAGCTCATGCTTGGCCAAGTACGAGATCGTTCTCAATCAAGAGAGACGATTTATAAACAGTATTTCGTGAATTCTCGGCGAAGTATCGGTCGAGTATAGATGTATAGGGACTTTCGTATTTATTTGGTAATTTTATATTGAGACTATTGGCGAACTTGGCGAATCTGAGATGGCGTTAATGTTATTATGTAAATATTTCTTTTGAATCGCTGAAGGACTGGCGAAGATCACGAAGATTACCGGATACAAGCTACAATATAATATACACTTTATGTAAGAAAGTAGACATGGAATCATAGAAACATTGCTACTTGTTGTATAGAATCTCTAGAATAGAAAGCGACTTGTATAGAATCTTGAACATACCAGCAATTGAGTAATGAGTGATATTCGATATTGGTCCTCCACGATTATCCGCTTTCAATAATGGTTCGTTTAAAAAAGATAATATCATCTCAATAATAGTGGCTTTTGAAAACCGAAACCTTTTCCGAAATTCTACATGCGAGAAAAACTCAAAACGATTTTTGCCATCTCGTATATATATTTTACTAACACGTTGGTCTTCGTTTATTTCCTCCTCTATTACGTCCAAATATTCAAAACCAAAAGCATACCCCAAGATTTCCAAATACTAGTGAACAAAGTAAATGAAGAACGCGAAGAATATGTATTGACAATGAACGTAAAAACGACTAAATTAATGTTAATGTAAATGCAAAAGAACGAACAATGTCGGACAAATTATATACAAAACCAACCAGTACAACAGGTAGAAAAATTCAAATATATCGGTGCCATTATGAACAAGGACGGCGACTGCTCCCAGGAAATAAGAAGTAGAATAAAAGTAAAGATCAGCGCTTATGAAAATGAAAAAAAAAAATCTGCACAAGGGATATCAGTTTGGCGTTGAAAATTAGGTTGCTGAGATGCTATGTGCCGTCTGCGCTGCTTTATGGCATGGAGGCTTGAACCCTGAAGAAGGAAAATAATAAGAAGACTAGAAGCTTTCGAGCACTGGACATACCGGAACACTAAAACAAAAAATTTGCTTGATAGAAAGAATAACAAATATTGAAGTGCTAAGACTAGGATGAACAAGGAAAAAGAAATAATAGGCATGAAGACAGACTTTGAAGTACCCTTGTACAATGTAGGTACACGTCTGCTATTTCCCAAATAAACGTTATTTTCGCAATAAATTAAATGTTGCTCAGATTATCACATTTTTATCTTTCTATTTTGTATTAAACGCAAAAACCCCCGTTGGTGTTTGTGCCGCCACTACCTCTGATAATTTGAAGTATGCCTATGCTCTATGGTTCTGGTTCTCTAATTCTGGTACTGATACGAATACCGACACCGGGTTCCGAATCTTTCCGACGACCGGGTTCTAATGATTCGGATCTTTAAAACGAGAGGAATCTTTAAAATCATCCGATTATCCCATCTAGTCACAACAATTGATGGGACACGGCACAGAACGAGTGGCTCATCGCAGTAACGTCTGTCATGTATATACGTTTTTATTAGTTTTCCTTTTGGAAAGTTACTTATACAACATTACATATCCTTATAGAGTTTATTGAATAAACAGGGCTTGTTTAATGCCTTTCGCGATTGATGACATTTATCAACACAAACACTACACTTAAACATATTTGCTTCTTGTTAAATTTTGAAAAACTTTCTAAAATGTTTAAACTAATTAGTGATGAGCAAAGCAAGACCAACCTTCTGTTGGTAAAGAGAGCAACTCTTGGTCTTGTTCTTGCAAGTATTGCTATCATATAAGCCGTAAAACGAAACGGAATTAATTTAATAGTAATTAAATTAAAAGATAATAATAATCAATACTAAGCAATAAAAAAATCAGACTCTGCTATTTTAACAAGTTTAATTATTTTGTAATTCAAAATTGTTTAGTCGTACTTTTTCATTGCCTATTAAGATCCAGAAAATCTTCATCCAGAAAAATTAAATATATTTTCATGTAGTGTAATTTACATATTCTAACGAAAGTATAACAACAATAAAACATCTACAGTAAGCTGCAGATATTTAAATATTTTGATAAGGCTTGCAGAATTCTACTCATAGAAGACCAACTCAATTATTAATAATGCACATGATTTGTCGCAAGGATTAATTTATACTGTTTACACGGCAACTAGTAAGGACTCTGGCAAGGAATATTGCAAAAATAATTACTAAAGTGTACATGTAAACTGTTCATCGCAATTTATTTACTACTTGAGGTTTTACTGTTTTAAGTATCCGATTGAAACTCCTCATTTTGTAGACATTTTTTTTAATTCTCTACAAATAATCTCGTTGGGCACTCCGATAGATCCATTAGCTTCAAAGTTATAATTTTTGCAATAGTTTTAATAACTAACATATGGACCGGAAATGCGAGTGGAAAACACATACCTATTAATCTGCTTATTATCTTTTATATCATCGTACAATTAGTTTGGGTTTTTTTGTCACGTTAAAGCATTTTTAAATACCTATAGCTTGGCTTAATTGGGCAAGTTATAGTTTCCCAAAAGAGCCTGTACGCTCAAAATACGAACTCGGAGGCTCTTCGCTATGAACATGAAAGTCTTATATCTAATTTCAGTTTTCGATAGTCGTATTTTGGGTATCAAATCATCAGTATCCGAAGTAACAAATACCGAACCAAGCTACCAAACGAGTATGCAAGTAATCAGTAATCGTTCTCGGAAAATCAAGTCATCCTTCGACTCCAAAGCCCAATAATTTACTACTCGTACTCGCTCGGACTAACTGGTAATCAAGACCAGTAATCAGTACCAGTACCGAGTCCCTATACCGATGGATACCGAGTACTCGTTCAGAGTAATTAAACTAAGCCCGGACCGATACCGAAAGCCTCGATTTTCAACGTCGGTCGTTTCTAATCACTAAAAACAGCGTTGCACGTCGCCGCATGGCAAACTTCAATTATATTTTTACATTTAAATTTACAATATAAAATATAATATGATAATTGTGACTTATTTTAAAACTGCATATTTGTACAAAGACATTTAGTAAAATTGATAATTGCCGCACTGTATTACTACTGTACCAAAATTTATTTATGGATGTGTGGCCTCTTGCTTCACAGAGTTAAATGATTTGCTTTCAAAAAGACAAATTATTTAGAAACTGCAAGTATTAACAACCGTGGGGGTTCAAAATGTCTGCGGACAATATCTACAATAACAATAGAGAGTGGAATAGGGAATTAATTAGCAACCGACTTAAAAATGGATAAAAATGGCCTGCTTATTTACTCTTAGACGTAAGTATAGTAGGATATGATTTACATAACTAAAGCGTCCGTGTAACAAATCTGAAGGGCACTAATAAAATACCAATATCGGTCTTCGACTTTCGTAAGACTTACGACTAGAATGAGTACTCGAATAACTGATCCGAAGTAACGAGTAGTGACTCCAAAAGTAATTAGTCGGTACGAGTATTCAAAAGTAATAAAATCTCACACCACTAATACAGGTTGCCTGGTAATCCTTAGCGAGGAGTGACGCGAGCGGAAGGTCTTCAATTTCAATACAATGAATTATAACGTTACTACTTATTAAAATACGTTTATTTTTGTTAAAACGAGAAGAACGTTTCTGATGTTTGTGCTAATGGTGTTGTGTTTGTGTTGTTTAAATCACAGTTAAGGTTTAGGTTAGTCACATATTGCGATTTGCTAACTGCTGTGAAAAAATCACAGGTAGTGATTTCTGACTCAACTGTATAGCCCTGTAGTCGAACACTTAACGACACACTGGTAGTATTATTTCAGTTTTAGGTCCGTATTTATAAACGATGCTCAAGCATGAGCCGAGTCTCAAGTACGAGACTTGGCTTCGATTCCGTTTTATAAACCATTCTCTATCTCAAGCCAGTTCTCACAGCTTTGCTTGCTCAAGTATCGGTCGACGGTGACTTGAGTATTGCTTCTGTCCAGCCATTGGTCGAGATTTTTCGTTGAACCGTCAAACGATTTTTAAGGTTATATTACTGCTTATGTTATGTTTTTACATTTAAATTTTTTGATTTTTCTATCGCATACAATATAAAAATGGACAAGGTTTTTGAATATTTGGACGTGATAGAAGAGGAAATAAACGAAGACCAACGTGTTAGTAAAATATATATACGAGATGGCAAAAATCCTCTTGAGTTTTTCTCGGATGTAGAATTTTGGAGAAGGTTTCGGTTTTCAAAGCCCATTATTATTGAGGTGATATTACCTTTTTTAAACGAACCATTATTGAAAGCGGATAATCGTGGACTACCAATATCAAATATCACCCATTACTCAATTG